ACCTGGCATTGCATCGAAATAACTGAAGAGTGAGTACATACTTGTTCAGTCTAGGTGGAATGTTTGTGCAATAACCAGCTCGCCTTCGATGCAGTAGGATAAGAAGAATAAGGTAAAGGTGGGTTAGAGTGGTTCGCAACCGTCAAGCGAACGCATCCAGTAGCATGACTGTTGTCTAACGCTCTGACTGTGATCACTCCGATCGCTCTTTGGCATCGTACTGCCTCTGTTTTTCGTAGGTTTTGCGAATACACGAACAGATCTTGCTAACAATATCGTGCGACGATTTGAACAAATACCAGTGATGATTACTAACGTAGAGCTGTTTAAAAGAGTGGCTTACTCGGGGCTGTAGCATAATCTTGTGATTTAAAGAGGGTTGGCCTTCCGCCTGGAGGTCATAAACGAACTTCCTGGTGGACACGAGAGGTTCAGCTTGTTGTTAACAGGGCTGCATTCAAAAAATGGCTGGGAATTTTAGAGACTTGAACTCGAATTCACTGGGAAGGACGCAACGTGGTGGCAAAAGCGGTGACCATCGTGGAGACCAATTCCCGGGTAAAAACTCAGTCGGTGAGCTGCCGGAGTCGCATTTCCAGGCGTCAGACAAAGTATTTTGTGTGCCTCCAAAATGGAAAGAAGATCAGCTTAAGAGTCTTGAAGGACAATTTTTAGCATCTTCTTACCAAGAATGATGACATACTTGAACGATGGAGAAGGTACTTTGAGGAATTTCTTAACCTGGAATAGCCCCATGTAAGGCTCGCCTGAAGAGTGGCAGGAATCAGATATTGGTCTTTCCGTGTACAAAGTCATAAACTGAACAACTCTTGAAAAGTGACAAGATTGCTAACTTCAGTGAAATACTCCCTGAGATTCTTTAAGCTAGCCTTAAGCGAACACGGCATCTTGTGGTTAACCCTTGTCTGTGAAGCTGCAATGGCTACGGAAAAGACAGCGTTAGACAGGGGGTGTTGTACTCTTCTTCAGGCAGGCAGGCCATAGACAGTGCTACATTTATATGGCATTACCTTATTTTCCATCCGAGAAAAGTCTACGCAATGGTGTTAGAAAGGAGATGCCGCTGAATTAGTGACTTTGGACCAAGGAAAGCAGCGTTACTTCAGGTCAAGCCAAAACACCCTAGAGATTGATCTTCCTTTACACCTGATTGTTGTGAAATTGTTGGTGTTCCTTCCTCAGGCTTGCATGTGCTTTGAGGATCAGCAGAAGGTATTTGTGACCGGATACTGCGCAGCAAATTTTGGGCATGCCTGGAAACATATGCGCGATAGCCAGTTGCTACGAACCAACCAGTCGTTGATGTGCATGTTGATGGGATGTTGCGTTAGCGTAAATGGTGTTAGGTCTGAGATGTTCCAGCGTTGGTACTGATATCCACTGAGGCTGCATTCTGTTCCCTCAATTGTTTGTATTGCACATGAATAGAATAGTAAAGCCCAGCTAGGGCGATGAGAGTATCAACATAGGAGATGTCGAGACTAGAAGGTTGCTGTTTGCAGGCGACGTTGTTTTGTTGGCATCTTCTGAGACTGATGTGCAACTCTGGAAATGTTCGCAGTCGAGCGCGATACGTATGAACGTGCCTAAAACGAAATGCCTACTTCACATATGTTCTTCTGCCATTGCGTTCTGTAGATAAACGAAGACGCAGTGCAACAAGTGGCAAAGTTCGCGTACCGCGAGATAGTGCTTACTGGTGATTGAGAATGGGAGGTAGAGATTGACAGGCAAATTGGAGTGGCTAGCGGCGTTCTGCATGAGCAAGGTCGAATCATTGTGAGTAAAGCAGAACTGAGTCTGAAGGCTAAACTCGCCGTGTTCAAGTTTCTCTTAATTCCGATGCTCAGCCATTGTCATGAGTCGTCGGCTGGAAAACCTCGATTCGATGTACAAGCAGCTCAATTGGGCTTTCTGGGGCGAATCGCTGCGCTCACCTCTCTCGACACGATCGGAGTTGAGATATCCGAGTGAGCCTTAGTGTACGGCTGATCCTTTTGCAGAGAAGTCGCATCTGCAGTATCATTCAAACCGTGGGGAAAGTTTGTTTGGAAAATATTCCACAGGCTCCCTCTCTTTTGTACATGTGGCAGTCAAAGAGAAAAGCACGAGAGCAGCTGCAGTATGGTGCGGATATACCCTTTATGAAGAAATCAGCAGGAAAAGGTCTGAAGCAAATACCGATGCATCGCTCTGTTTAGTATCTCTCATCTCCCTACCCAGTAACGCCCTACACGAAGTACTTTGAAAGCAAGTGCCTAAAAATTATGGAGCATAAGGTTCAAATAAATTGCTTCCATCCTGACCGCTGCACTATGGTATAGGGCTCAATTCTACCAATGCTGGAAATATCGGAACGAGGTTTATACGTGCTTTTTGGACTTCGATAGGGCTGGCGACAGGGTGTTTCAATCTAAGCTATGTAGAATATTGCAAGATATAGAATATAGGGAGCACTGAATCCTTATAAGCTATCTAGAATTCGAAGGCTGAGCGTTGATAAGGTGCTGAATAGATTATCTTGTAGACTCCTGCAGAATTTCCAGCCACGTTGTTTTTATCGTTAGTTAAAATGAGATTTTGCGAAATTGACGGGCGCGTTCACAAGTTTTATTACCTGATTTCTGTTCTAATGAAACTTTCTGTGACACTGCTGAATGTACGGCGTCACTCAAAAGTTCTTCCTTTTTGTTTTAGTTGACGAAGACGAAGACTTCCAGTGCTCATCAGTTCTCTTGGACCATTCTCAAGACGTCAAGTTCGTTGCCTGGATGCCATTAGAGGACGTACCTAAGCTTTTTCTCTTTATGTGATATTTTGTTCGTTCTTTAATTGTCATATTGAAAGAAACATGAATTATTTTTATCGGCAGTGAAAATTAATAGTTTCTCGGTTGAAGAAGCAGAGCATTACCAGCTGGGTATGGTTGATATTATTCTACCCAAACGCTTCGATTCCATCGTCTTCGACCTCTAACTACGGTGGATGCTGTTCTGGAGATGATCGAAACTTTTCGTCGCTCACAGTACTAGTGATTCTGCCGAACCCCTAACTGACTGCGTTGTTGAACTGAATTCTTTTGCGAGAAAGGATTTGTATTTTGAACTTCTGACTAACAGAGCGAACGCAAACTTTTGTGCAAGTGTATGCACCAAATTTAGATGCATGCGCATTACAAATCCTTTCTGCATTGAGTCGATGGAAAGGTAGCTGATATTAAATCCATTCTCCTGATTTGGGATTTTAACGCAGCTCCTTCAGATTCAATTTGCTGTGGCTAACGCTGCTGGATGCTGCTATATGCGACAAGAAACACGTTTTTGTTGGAAACCAGAAACCGGTGGTTCAAGAGCCATCATGGCGAACAATAAGGCGTTTCTGCCCAAGAATATGGCGGGAAGGGGGTGGCTAGTTACGGTGACTATCATTTTTTATAGTTCTGTTCGGGGGTCTGAGTCCGGATTGGTGGGATGAGGACAGTGTTTTTCAGTGTGCTATTTGGCAGTAGCCACAGGTATTTATTCCCTTCTGTTTTTATTTTGTGAATTTTGTCAGCGGACGCACCCTAGGCACCGAGAACGTCATTGGTTAGACTAATTCATCTGTTGTTGCAAATGATCTCGTCACGTTCGCTTCGTCGATGATGACTTCATCTTGATCTCTTTACTATTACATGTGGGGAAGCCAGGCTCAAAATAGTTAAAATCAAGGTTTTTGTACTCTTGAGCAAGCCCCCCCCCCCACTACTCCTCCCCAGTATGCTCTGAAAGGAAAGTGGAGTGCAACTAATGCAGGTACCGGAGTTTAATGTTTCGGGATCTCGGTAGACGTCGACCAGGTGTCTACCATGCAACATGGAAGAACAATATAGGGGCAGATCTGCTTTCAAACTTGCAGTTTCTTCTGCAGTAAGTAAATGATGTCTTATAGCACGTGTTGAAAAGCTACGGATGCAGCAAATATCACACACCAGAGACGTTCTGTTTATGCAAACGACGCAAGGTGATGATCTCAACAAACATACACAAATCTCTACGGATGACAGACAGGACATCTAAATAGACAAACGGGTCGGCTGGGCGCTATAATGCGCGAGTGCAGAAGGTTAATACTGCCTAGTAAATTGTTTATCGTATACGCCATGCCTTTTAACTACTGGTGACGGGGCTAGATTGTGACCGAATGAGTAGAATTCTGGACAGTTCTGGAAACTAGCTTCAGAAATAAGGTTTTTTCAGCAAAGCTGCTTGAAAAATCGTGCCGAGATTCAGAATACGACAGTTCGAAATATCTCCGATTGGTGCTGGACCCTCTCCAGAACAAGAAGTAACAATTGCGATTGGTTGTACATGATTGAGTGCCAGACAAGATGTCTTTAAGACGAGTTCTTGACAGTGTCCCAAGTAAGCGGCCAAAGGATAGATTGCATATAGTTGTCAGAATTATACAGTAAATTTTTATCATGTCTCGCTTTGCAATCCAGAACATTGTGCTTGTGCATTTGGAGGCGGATCGGGACTAAATTCCTTCTCATCCAGCTGCTCTGCTCCTCTGACAGGAAGAGACTGGTGGATTTTGAAGTTGAATGAATGAGTGATATGCCATAATCGAGGTTTTGTTTTTTATTCCATAGACCTTCAGGTGTTTTTCGTTTATTTTTATTTTTTTCTGAAACAGCCATCAAAGTTGGAACGGTGTGTTCTGCCCTCGGTCCGTTGTGCTAGTTTAGTGTTGTGTAGTTTATTTCTTTGATTTCCGTGGTGTCAGGCGCGACGATGCTTATCCATTCTAACTTGTCTTGCGTTCGTCTCCATTGTCACGGGTCTGGGTGAGTACGGCCTCTTTGCTGCTTCTTCTGAGCTAGTTCGCTGACACTGTTAATGCACTCCGCCACTGCTCTTTTGTCATTTTTTCAGGATGAGGGATAGTGTTGTACAATTTGGATCTTTTAATGCGTTAGGTTGAGCTGAATGCTTGCTTTGAGGGTCGATTCTGTCTGCTGTTGTGAACTGTAGCGACAGAGTCAAAGCCCAGCTTCCTCATCAAATGAAGGTCCATTACATTGTGTTGGTGCAGCTGTCCATAATTTATTAAATTCAGTTGCCATCTGCGCATTCTTAGGGTTGCCAGCGGCATCTGCAAAGCATATATCTGTGCAGTTCGACGAAGTTTGTAACCATTATGATAGCTATGATGGTACATATTCAGTGCCAAAAGGATTACTTAGCAAGGCAGTGGTAGCTTTTATTTGATCTCCTCTTGCAGTGCAGCTGTACCGAGAAATTGGGTTCCACAGTCTGTATCGATCTTGAAGGGAGTGGTGATGCATCTAGTCTACCACCTAAAAACAAAATTGTCATTAAAATAACTAAGGATATGAGAGCAGTATTTCAGAAAGTTTGGAAAGTTTTAATTCAGTACCAAATCAAGAACAGCACAAATTTGTGACGATGATTCTGAAAGTAATGTGATTTTTTGAATTCTTGCGGAAATGACGACTTTAACAAACTAATTATTTCTTGCCTTCAGCGAATGTTTGCGTGGATCGACGTTTTATTCTTTCAGGCTGAGACAACTCAGTGCATTTACTTTTAGGTATTGGCTTCGGCGAGTTACGACAATTGCATCAATTTTTATAAATTTGATGGAGACGACTGGCTTCTCGACCGTAAAATTACTGCCCACGAATCGACCGTGTGGGGGATCAGTTTCACTGCCAGCGGTTCTCGGTTCGCCAGCTGTAGTGCTGATGGAACCGTAAAAGTATGGGAAAAATCGTCTTCCATTGTCGCTGATAGAGGCCACGAGTGGCAGTGTGTCAGCACTATCTCCGGTTACCATAGCCGCCCAGTCTACAGTGTCAGTTGGTATGTCTCATGTTAGTTTGCAGTGATGGCCTAAAGAGCAGTTTCCCGTAAACTGGTGACCAATTTGCTGTTGCATTTTTCTTTCTGCGGTAGTGATAGAGCAGGCTTGTTCCCCTGCGCGTGCGTTGTTGGATTCATGCAGTTAATACTGTTTGTTTCTTTTTTTGGATTGAGAGATTTGAATAATTTCACTGGCATTTATATGCTCTATGGTTGAAATCATGTGATAGAGGACGTTTTGTTTATATACCTTTTTTTATACGTTTGAAGCGAGAACGGTTTCACATGCTTACACCGTTAATTAAAATTACCCCTGATTCCATGGACTTCCCGTTTTGAGAAATTAAGTAATCAATTAGTCATTTCACTCGCTTCAGTATCATCAGAATAACGTATATTGTGAACTTCTGCGAATTCTGCGAATGAAGGAATAAAGTTGCAACTATATGCAGTGTTTTAGATGTGCTACCATCAAGGCAGTCGGATTGTAGTCGAACCTTTGTGAATGCACCGTAGTAGTTTGGTCATTCAGAATGAGGATTTTTCCGTGCCAGAGTGCTAGGAACACCTGCCTGTCCTATCATTTTGAGGTTGAAAAGTAGTTAAAAACCATTCAGTTCTGCAAAAGACCTAATTTGACTTGAGTGAGTCTCCTGGCGAAATTTTATTTCACTCTATGTATGTGAACCATGCTTTCGTCGGTAACTTGCTATAGGATTGCTTTGTTTTGATTTCTATTTTTAGTTTCTTTCATGAACTTTCTAGGTTTCCATCTGACAACGTGATAGCGACAGCTTGCGGTGACAACGGCATACGGCTTTTCAAACAAAATGTGTCATCCGCTGATTCCACAGTCACTTTTGATCCGCTGGTTATTATGGAAAATGCCCATGAACAAGACGTCAACTGCGTAACATGGAACTTTCAAAGAGACGGCCTGCTAGCCAGTGGCAGTGACGACGCCATGGTGAAAGTGTGGAAGTTCACTGTTTCCTGATCCTTTCGACAGAAGTAACTTTTGCATCCTGATTGAAAAAACGAATCATTTTCAGATCTGTTTCTTGTCATCTCAGCCCATTAATGACTTCAATGTTTTTAATGACTTTCGAAAACGATGTGAAACTAATAAAGCGTATTTGTACCAAAAATTCACGGAATCTGGTTAATTCAGTTATCAGATTATCTTATAATATTTTCGTGATTCCTGTTATGTAACAAGTATTAATTTAAGAAACTAACCAGCGTAATTACCAACGACGCTTGCACACGTTGTGCCTTCACATCAAAAGTGAACAAACATCTCGCATCTTCAGAACAGTCGATTTGAACCGCTATTTCGCTCTTCATGGCGTATTTGAACCCCCACCAGCATGACCCCCGGGCAGTTATGCCTGGGGTCACAGAGGACCCCTCGATACATACATGTATACATAATCTATCCACTTGAAAACGCTCGACGATCCAGCACAAAATACAAATGGAGGCGAGTAGACTAGGGCGGCATCATCATTCGCGGATTGTAAGACTGTTCGCTGTTGATGGCCACATCTGAAACGGATACAAACATGGTTACGGCTTATGCAGTCATCCGCTCTTCCGCTGGAAGATGAAGTTCAGTCGATAGTGGGGCTGCAGTCATGGTGACCATGGAAGATATTTCTTCGCAGTGTCCGGTGTGAAGGTTCGGTGACGAGTAACTGATATGCAGAATGCCATTCCATAATTCATTAGGTTTGAAAGCGTTGACCACCAGTTAGAATTGTTAGTCACAACCAGAGGATTGAAGAAACAACCAGAATAATGATCTTATTTCTTAAAGGGCCTTTAAGATAGACAGAGCGAACAAGTCAAAAAATGTTTATATCAATGGAGTCAGGTTGATCCCAGCTTTAGTTTAGTAAAGGTGTAGAAAAAGCAATGCACGAAACATTGTTACAAGTTTTTTATTCGACCAAAGCTTAAATTAGTCTGTCACTCGTTAATCAGTTGTCACACGTTGCGTGTAAATGAGCTGCTGTTGGGCTGTCTTATTTTGAGTAGAAGTGACCTGCATTATTTCAAGTTACTTCCGAAACAGTGTAACATGAGTTTCAAATAATATTTTCTTGGAGATGAGGGAAATCGCATGAAAAGAGTTGGATCTTACATTAACGATGTCATTTTCAAATGCAATTGTTTGTTAATGCTTAAGTCGTTCATTGCTACCTTAAAAACTTAATGTAGCTTTGTTCCATTTGGTTGAGATGCTGTTAAATGAAGCTCCATATGGCCATGTTTCCATTTTAATGACAGTTTCCAATTACCGGAGAAATTAAGCTTCATAGATTTCCTAAGATTACGAAAGTTCTCGCTTTCGGAAATGCACTTTCCGTAGTTACAATAAAAATTTTGACAAGTGGAAAGAGACGGTGAACGATTGAACTTATCGTGTCGGCAGCGCAATGCAACCCAGGAACTAAACGCGTGACAGATTGATTTGGGATAGTGTTTTAAACAACTAGAAGGTTTCATTTGTGATTATAGCAGGTACTCTGGAACAACGATCGGTAACGACATACCCGAGTGGTTGAATCATTGATATATTTAGAAACTTATTCTTCGCAACAATTTACCTGGAAATGGAAGTTTGCCATATTTCTCGGGACATGGCTTACCGGTGACACAGCTGGCTACGTTTCATCTAAAAGAATCAGTTGCGTCATGGTATCACAGTTATCTTCAGCATCATGGGTTAAATTCACAGAAAAATTCAGCGCTTTTACTCCCGAGTATGACAATAAGCTCATGATTCCTCCGGTTTTGTTGCGCAGCGTCTGCGTCACGTCCTTGTTTCTAGATCTGCAGGATACCCTTTAAGCAATCCATGGTTTTGAAGTAGTTGCAGTGCGTGCGTGAGGCAATAGGATACACCTTGCCCTCATCAAGAACAATGTTTCATTAGCTGATACTCCTTATATTCTACCGCACGAGCATCATAAGATTTTCGTACATCCGATTAAATAATAATCAGTGACTCCTGCGAGACCAGGTTTCATTAATGACCATATAGAGGATACCGCTGCTGACTGGTCGTACGGGTTAGTACATACAAATTTAATCAACTTTCTTACATTTGGCAGAAGAAAAACGTACATAGCCTTAGGAGGGACGTGTTCTATGAACTTGTTCAAATGAACAGCCGGACAGTTGATAGTTTGGAACATTTCCACTACTTCAGCGGAACTTGTTATGGCACTGCCAATTTGAGGAGATCCTACCTATCTTTTTTCCACCGCTGTCATTCCCATTACATCGTACATATGATCTGTTTAGTCACCTGACACCAAGTACTAGACAATAGTCCACCTAAGCTGTACTCTGCTGGTGTCGCTGAGGGTAGCAAAGATCGACCTACCGAAGTTGAATGGTTGTCGGCTTCGGGCTTTCCATATAAAGAGACAAAGCGCTCTTACCTACATCAGACGGCTCAGGTTCGTCATGAATGTCACTGCCACCGAACTGGCTAGCGTCCTCAATAACGCAATTAGCCATTCTTAAACCACCCTGTTTTTCTGTTTGGGAACCTATCAGTAGTGTTTCCTTTCTTGGTGGTTTCAGATATTCGTAGTTCAGTTTCGATGTCGCCCTTAACGGCAGATCACTGGACATAGTGAAGATGATGTTTGCTTGAGTAAGTGGACTGATTATAATGACAGTTCCGCTCCGCCAGCCTCCAAACACGTGGTACACAACTGTCTAATGCTGACTATATGCGACTGATGAAAACACCATATTTTAATGATTGTGATCAAGTTCGACTTCAGGCGATCAAATCTGAGTGATTAGATTACTAATGAGCTTTAGTCAATTCTGAGTATTCTGATTATATTACAGCCATGTGAAGGTATTGTCAGTAGTGAT